TTTTCAGGAAAAAAGTGTAATCGTAGTAAGTTGGTAGTCCTGATCACGAATCTGAAGGAATTTTGAGCCTATTTTGCCCCCTAATATGTTTTACTGTAAAAATGGGGTGTTCCATCGCGAGTGGCGGACAGTGTATATCACTTTGGCCAACCCCATTCAGGTGGTAGGTGCATTTTGAGCATTTCCATCAGTCCAGAGAGTTTCATCGTTCACCTCGAATATTACGGAAGATACGGGGATGTTTTCATGAGAAGTGAGACACACTGTATGTATATTAGATGCATAATATAGTAGAGAAACACTGATAATTTTAGAGGTTTCTAATATAATGTGCTGAACCCTACGCGCTGGCTGAATCCTACGAGATAAATAAAAAAATATACTATAGTATTGTACACCTCTTAGGGTTAACCCACAATAACCATTTTTTATCCTCGAGAAATAATGGCTTGTTTACGAAGCGATTTTAAGCAATACAGCATTAATCCTCGAGAAATAATGGCTCATTTACGAAACGATTTTGAGCAATACATCATTAATCTTTATCTAATTAAGTACCTTAAATACATTGTGCATTTAATATAGGTCAGTAATTTGAATGAATGTTTTCGGATATATCACAGATTCAAAATGCAGGGACATAACGGTTGCGGCGGTACCGGCCGGGGGGGGATAAGTCCGTGTCTTAATTTATTGACCGCTCAAAATTAACACCTTCATAGACGAGTCGTAACAGCATTTTTTCATGAATTTTGGCAATCCATATAATCGTGGTGCAAGGGTTTCGTATTTTGTTATAACCTTCTTCCATTTGGCAGTGATTATAGTCTATGTAATTGCTGTGAATTCTTCATCATTTGTAAAATCTTATTTTTTCTTCCATTTTTCAATTGCCTTTAGTGAAGTAACAAGAACATTCGGAATTCCTGGACATGGCAAATATTTTATCATGAAAATTTTATCATGTTATCAGCGTTATTTATATGAAATGCAATTTTCCAGATTGTTCTCTAACTTTTCAGATGATTTGGTCAACTTACCTGTTGAGTTATCATTAGTGGTCTCTGCTGTATTACTATCCCAAGAATGAATTGCACTGTCGACACTCATAAGTCCTGGACTCGAGTAATTACACCGATTGTCTTCTGCAACAAAAATTGAGTGAAGAATATGAGGGGTTTAGGTCCNTATATTTACTGGGGGGGCCCCTCTCCTGTGGAGGTCCTGACGCAGTAGCCCCGCCTCGCCTCCTCTTAATCCGGCCCCTGCTTCTCTCGTTTCCATGCGAAATTAATGTTAAAATTGCAACAAACACAAGAATTGGGGCTCTGCCCAATTTTACCTTCTCCACCAATCAGTGCACAGAACAATATAAATAATAACACAGCACTTGCTGTCTGATAGTCGAATACGGAACTTCGAAAACTTGCTCACAGCGTGTCTTTATCAAATATTCATAATATGGTTGTGCTTCACTGGAAAGCAACTTGTTCAATTAATTGTTTTGAAGTAAAGTGAGATTAGATTGTTTTTCGGATCTATTATTTCCATCAATCATGAAGGAGTATAATAAATTTCCAAAACAAATTGACATATCAAATAAGTTGGAGATATCTGAGGCTAGCTCAAAAATATTTTCGTTACATTTGGTTATGGAGAGGACAACCAAATACCTACTTATAGCAAGAATTTATTGCAGAGTATTGTTCGGAAGAACACACAATTATCTGAGGAGAAGGGTGATTCTATTGTTTTTCAAGGAATACAGAATGTTTTACCTGTACCACCTGCTCCTAAAACTACCATTAGGCGAAGAACTCTTGGAGTTTCTAGGCCAAGAGCCCGACGGAAGCTATGTTGTTAGCCCATTCTGTACCCCATGATTATTCATACATTCCCATTGCGGTCGAAATCGTATCTTCAAACTCTCACCAATTGAGGCTGTTAGGTAAGAAATGATCGGGTACCTATCTGTGTTTATTTTAGGGACGTGAAGAACCTCTGAAGGCCGGCAGCAGTCATCGTGGTGTCCCAGAAGGTTGTCAATCAGCTGTGGTTCATGATGGAGAATAATGATAATACTAGGTGTTTCGATTCTGCAGCGGTCAAATTCCATTATTGTTTGACGGTATATCAAATCAAATCAAATCAAATCAAATCAAAGGCCGCGCTTCGCCCTATAACACTTTATAATTAGCAGCGATCGTACGCGTTCATATGTATATTTAGCATCGGCATTGCACCCGTTCGGAGCCGAGGCTGGTCGCTAGTAGAATATAAAATATATATATTCCGGTAGAATGTAAATTTATATCAAAACTGTTTACAATTCTAGTACCGAATAAACGAAATTGTGGCGAATGCGCAGGATGTTCCAGATATGAAAAGATTATTAACTATAAGTCAAAATATTGATAATAATGTAACTTTGAATTCAATAATAGAATAATGTAATTGTAACTTGGCTAAATGATGACAAATATATACCGGTATGATTGAAGTTGAGTTCAATTTCTACCAAGATATTAGTAACTCTGTGTCTTGGACTTAACCTAACCTAAGTCCGTGTCTTAATTGATTGACCGCTCAAAATTAACACCTCCATAGACGAGTCGTAACAGCATTTTTTCATGAATTTTGGCAATCCATATAATCGTGGTGCAAGGGTTTCGTATTTTGGTATAACCTTCTTCCATTTGGCAGTGATTATAGTCTACCTATCTGTGGTTCATGATGGAGAATAATGATAATACTAGGTGTTTCGATTCTGCAGCGGTCAAATTCCATTATTGTTTGACGGTATATAGGATAATCTTTCCCTCTGAGGTATAACAAACATCACCCAGAGATGGACACTGGTTTCAATAGCCTGGTATCGGTCATTTTCAAAACATGGAGACAGAAAAGCTTAAATTTCTTCGTATAATTGAAATAACTTGTAAAATGTAATCAACGAATTACAATATGAAATGAAAGAATGTTGCTGTACCAATATGAAACAACTTTAGATGTACTAGTCTTGGAAAACAGCTCAGAAAGGTAACACAGGGAATTATAAAAAGAGGATGCTTCATTTGAAAATCCCGATGATGAGTTATTACTCGAAAGTAGGTGATCTTATATATTATTAAAAAACCTAACATACGCCCTACATTTTGATAATTATTGTTAAGTTTTACCCGTGGGGTTGAGAAGGCCCTTCGAAGTCCTTTTCATTTTTGGAAATATGAATAACTCACACAGAGCCATGTCTGGCGAATATGGAGGCTGAGGCAACCTTACAGTACCTTACAGCTTACTAAGCAGCATTAGATGTGTTGCCTCTCGCATGAGAGGGAAGGGTTTGATATCTAACCAGAACTTGGGCATATCTATCCATATCTCCGGAATATATTTTTTACTATTCTAACTCCCACACCGAAGTATGTGTTTGTGGAGTTTCTTCTGGACTTTGTCCGTACCAGTTTTATAAAAAAACTAGAACTATATGGTATAAGAGGAAACTCACTGAAATGGATTGAATCTTACCTAACAGATCGCCAACGAATAGTAACTATTAACAAACATGGTCGAACATACAAATCTGAGAATGCGGCAGTGAAAGTAGGAATACCCCAAGGAAGGATTGCGGGCCCCTTGTTATTTATTATCTACATAAACGATTTATGTTATCATTCAAACACACA